TTACTTAAATTGAAAATTGAAAAGAGAAATAAGATTCTTTCGCCGTTTATATCAGATAATTTTGAACATATGAAAGGCAATCGCAGATTATCTAAACGGAAACTCAAACAATATACTACAATTTTATAGTTTAACATAAAGTTTTTACGAGTCTGAAACTAGAAATTTATTCGAAATTCGAAATTTATTCGAAATTTTCAATTACTCATAAGGGTATTTCAATTTTCAATTATAATCATTTTTATACGATTATGAACGAACAAATAAGAAAATCGTTAGAATGTATTTGTCAGCAACAAGCGTGTTAAAATAATATTGAAATAAAATAGTTAAAAATTTACAAAAAAGATACAGTTAACAAAAAGAAAAAGTGTTAATTGTTAAACAATATTTTTTGGACTTCTTTTGATTCTATTCAAATTGGAATTGAATTCTCGAACTTGCCTTATAAACTTCTTTATTATTATAAAATGATCGAAACTTCAAACTTCAGTTGGTGTGTTCTGACGTACAGCAGCTATATTAGTACCATCGCCAGATGCTGGTGGCTGTTGAGCAGCAACTTTGGCTTGAGGAGCTCTACGTGCTGGAAGCGTAGCACCAGCATCAATATATTCCTCAAGTACGGGAGACATTTCGTATCTTCTGGGTGTTGTTGAAGGAACAGGCATCAACCCTCTATGATATAACCCAGGCTATAAAGTTCGTCTCAGTTAACATCGCTTCTTTTTTATTGCTTTTTAAATTTTTTTCAGTCTTTTAAATAAGTCGATAGCATTATACTAAGCTAATCAGTAAAATATGATGACGAAATAAAAGTACCGCAGTTTTATTTAATAAAGGAATTAGAAGTGGCATAGAGTTACACATAAAATATAACCACGCTAAGCTATAATTTCTGAAAAATAAAAAACAGAGGAAGAATAAGAATAACAACCTGAATATCTTTCCCATAATTGCCAAAATATGTCCTATCTGGTTTCGTACCAGTCAAAAGTGGTTTACCATCGGGCGAATAGCTCGTATTCAGCTTGGTATCGCTTTCATTGTCTTGTAGGGCATTCTGAAATTTTTTACAAAAAGATTCGAAAAGAAGAAACCTTTCTATTAAAAATCTTTTAAAATCATTCTTAATTCAAAACCAAACGTGCATATACTATCTTCGCACCACAATTTCACATAATTAAATTGGAATCAAATCATCGAAAAATTTTTTGGTTTCCTTGACTTTTTTGATTATTACTATTCATTTACCGAATTACCTACTTGCTCCATATATATTTTAGCAAGTTCATAAATAAGTTCTCGAGAAATTCTGTTTCCAACGTGTTCTCCGATAAATTTTAGCAGCAATAAACCATCCGAACGAAGAAATCCATGAATGAAGCGATTCAAAGTATCACTCGCAAATCCAACCGCCTAAAATCAAAGCAATCTAATTATTTAGTTTTTTCGCACAACAGCTCGATTTTTAAATTCATTAAAAGAGGGAAAGCAAATATGAAATGGTTTCAAAAATCCACTTACTTTTATTTCATGCTTATTGATTTGCCACAACACGATTTTCGCTCTCGCTTGAGGTATAATCATAAGGAAAAGATAATAAAGAAAATTAATAATAGTGCAAATTCCGACGAAAATGAGCCAAAACCATAAGAAGAGGTATAATTTTTCGTTAATCATATTCACCATAATGACACACTGCACCGTGTAATTTTGTAAATTTCCAAGTCGACGCACCTGCAATGATATTAATAATTATCACCGTGAAATTTAATAAATACGCAAATAATACCAAGAAAATTAAACAGAACTCAACAAATCTCCTAGGCTCTTTTAAGCAAACGAATAAACTAACTAACTTTAAAATCGCACATAATCACACGGGGAAATACTGGTGATTCCGACCACTTCATACCGTGCGCTACGTCTTTTATGGTCTAAAATAAAATTATGAGTGTATTTTGTCATACAAAACTTGGCTTATTAATTTCTATGGACATAATTCATCGACATTATTAACAATTAAAAGTGAATGGAAAGATTTGGAATGGATGTGAATGGAAAGAAAATGGCAGTGAACGAATGTTTTTATGAATGGCTGTCTGCTGCCTTTTCAAGCATAAAAAAACTTTGAATATCATTTTTAGAGTTCAGGAAGGACAGTTGAGTGAAAAATGAAGAGACTTACGGGACAAGTGCAACACAAGAGATTAATATATATTAAAATTGTATTACATTCATTGTATTGCGTGGCACGGAGTTGCCGGGTAAATTAAAGCACCAACAAGAATCCCCAAAAATTTTTTTCTGCCCTCTACGCAAATCTTTTTTCGGTCATAATCCACGGCACGAAACTATATGGGAATATTGAATCGACTCGCGATGAAATATTCATTGAGGATTTTCCAAAGACCTATCAAGCGGTCACCCCGGTCACTTGTGACTAGCAGTGCAGTGTAATGTTCTGCTCGAATAAAAAAGATATGACAATCGCATGCAATATTAAACCAAACCTGGTATCCCCATTTAAAATAATCGCCTCCGAGAAAGTGGTTCATCATATATAGTTGACCAATAATGTTCAGCACGTAAAACATTTTAGTGGAAAGATAAAGAATCGTTGCATTTCGTCCGAAACGAGTCAATTCCTACAAAAAAATTTTTTCGTGAAAACTCATTAAAAATAGACAGCAAAAAATAACCTTTTTCCGGAATTTCTTCTTTATTTCAAAAACGGTTTCAGCTATATATTCAGCAAGATTGTGAACTTCACTTTCACGTTGATTGCCTCGCATTTTGACGCATTTTTTTGCTTCCTTTAAAATAGCCATTGGTCGAACTGCTGAAAAAATTTTCAAAAATAACTTACTGAGTCTATCTTTTTTTGTTCAGAATATATACGATAATCACGACAGTTTCTTTAGATATTTTCTAGAGATGGGATAACCGAGTGGCAGATTCTCATTTGATTCAGATTCTCATTCAAAAGTTTGGACTGTGCCTTTAACAATTTGTTATTAAAGTCTCAAGGTGGTGCCAATGGCCGCTGTCTCGATGGCAAAGAATTCTGAATTTTGCATCCTTCACAAAAATCTCTCACTCATTAGTGCAGCTAGTCTAATCAGAAAAGGTGAGCTAAATATTTTTTTATTCATAAATATCAGGAAAGCATGAGAAATATGAATGACGATAATGAGAGACCTCTATCCAGAAGAGCGATTACTAGGACTAGCTAAGATGTTGCGCAGAACCCTCAATCCCCAAGGTCTCTGGCGGAGGACTCGAGGTTGAGTATGGTCACTACCATCGACAGGGAGTGAAAAAGATGTGTATCATATTCTGAATTATTCTGAAGAAGCAAATAGTCTTACCAGTTTGCGTATACATGAAACTCCAGAAGTAATTTGGAGCGATGAAGAAGAGTGCCTGAATCACAAGAACGACTGGTACCCACTGAAAAAGAGGGAAATGCATGTTTGATAATTCAAGGATATCATTTCTCTGAGAAATTCAGAAATTTGACGAAAAATTTACTTAAAACTTATTAGAAGAATCATAAAACAGCGATTTTCGAGGAATCAATTAAAGTGAAATCGGAATAAGCGGAATAACCGGAGAAATGGACGGATTTTCTCGCTAGAAGAACAAATAACGATGGAGTTTTTGCATTTAGTATTTATAGAAGAAATAGCGAAGATATTTACCCTGTAATAGCTGATTTGGTCTGCCCTTGCGTGCACATCGTCAGGTATTTGTTCTTCGAATGGTACATAATAAGAATTTTGAATGAAACAGTAATCCTCTGTGTACTTCTCCCAACCACCTGACGAAATAGAAAAATTCATAAATCCAATAAAAATAAAATTATTATCGAATACTACCAAAATTATTGAACCCAAAATAATACCTCTGAATTCCATGGGCACCCAGCATTGTATAGGAGAGCCGAAATATTGCTTGGCTGAAATCGCAAAGGCAGCAAGTGCCAGAAAACATGAAGTATAATAATAGTTTAAACAATCAACAGAGTCCGCCACAGTCTGTGGCTTTATGGCTCTATAAATATAACTCGACAAAAATGGTATTCCCATCATTTTGCATCGACGTAAGCTAAAAAAAGCTTAGATGTGCAAGGTGCGGAAAACGACGATTTCCAGCAAATCGGACAAAAAATCGCTAAAAGCAGCAAATTCCATGATTAAAATAATTCCATCGTCGCGGTATATTAAAATATTTACTCACATAAATAAGCAAAAAACATTTAGTCAAATAAAAAATAAGCCCAGACAGACAATGCAACCGACCCATTCTTCTTAATTGATTTAGCAAGAAATCAGACCGTAAACCGTTAGCAATCTGGTTACAGCTGTCTACACTTTACAAAAATATCTACGCTTTATCGGTTTATTTTTTGCCAATAGCTGAGCAAACATTTTGCTGCCCTAAAAATGAAAGCAAGGTTTTAACTTTATCAGTTTACTTGATAATATCGATAAGATATTGATAAACAGATTCTTAAAAATCAAAATATCTCGGATCAGTGCAGTTTTGACTAATTAGAAGAGGTCGTAACTGATTCCAAGAACTGACAAATAAAATTACGAATTGAATTTTTAAAGTCGAGCCGAGATTAAATTTGCAAATTTGCAATAAAACATTTGCAAGAATTTTTATAATTTATAATTAATAAAATTATAACTAAACAAGCGAAATGTGCAGCGAAAATGTTAAAAAAGAAGGAATGGCATTCATCACAGTGCTGCAGGGACACCTCTTATGCACCACTCAAAAGGCTTTTTTTCAGCATTCCGCAAGGACGTCAAAAGACGGACCTTTTTTTCAGGATACCACAGGGATAACATTAAAAACAATGGGCGTAGTACACAAACCAGAATCACCGCTAAATAGCGCAGCTTTTACGATGAAAAGATTGGCTCTTTGACGAATGGTAACTAAGTGAAACTTTGCTAAAATTTAAGCGATGATTCTAGTCGGTGCGAAGACTGTAAAAGAACATAAAATTCCTGAAATTTCTCAAGAAAAACCAAAGTATTTTACTTGTTTTGAGATTTATTTGCATCCATAAACGAGCCGAAAATAGAATAAAAATAAATAAATATTCAAACATTTATGGAAGACAAAGAGCGCACAAATTTCAAATAACTGTATTTTCTATGAAAAGTTATTTATGACCGATACTGAAAAGTAAAACAACTGCAACTGAATCGGTAAGAGTAAGAAACCAGCCTAGAAGAACGAGCCATCAGCCTTCCTCGCCCTAAGGCCATGTACCTCTTAAGATTATACCTCTTGGTGGAAGTATACTTGCCATTAAGAAAGAGTCGCGTTGAGGACTCACCTCTGCTTTTATCCTTAAGTAACTCTTCGGAGAAGGAGTATCGCCCTAACGGCCAGTAAAGTCACCACAAGCGAAAACGATTTGTGCTGTTAGAAGAAGGATGCACACTAGAAATGAGGCAAATTTTGTACGCCGAAAGAAGAATTATCGCTGCTAATAAATTTTATAGTTATAGTTTTATAGTTAAAATAAATTTTCATAAAAATTTTACAATTTTTTTGCACCGACTAAGTACGACGATAGAAAGCAAACAAACAAGAAATTCTGTACAAAACTGCCGTTTTATTGGAATTTATTACTTGCATCGCTTCTCCCAAATCGCAGTTCTTCCTTCAAAACCTATTGTCGTTGCTTCGATCCATCAAAATATTGCAGTAAAATGAAAATTTAAAATTGTGGAGAATTCGCAAGTTTGAAAAGATCATAGAGGCGGCGTAAGAAGTAAGCAAACATATCGTACTCCACACAGCTTATAAATATTATAAAACTTGAAAAATAAACTCTTCGATGAAGAAGGAAAACATGCCGAGCAAACTTCAAGGTATTACACCACTCTAACTGTTCTAAATCTTTGGCAGAGGAGATAAGGCAGAGACTGAAATCAGTCGCTGTTAACGGCTCAGTTACTAGCACATTTGCCGATTTCTTATCTTCCAAAAGCTTTATCACTGATTAGGCTAATTTCACTGTCTACAAGAGTAAGGCGCCTAAGCCTCTCGATTCGATTCGATCATATCTCAGAGTAAGCTACTCATTTTTTCACCTAAATATCGCTAAGCCGTCCTCGTTTCCATATTTTAGGAAATCGTTGATATTTCTCATCCTTTTTAGTTAATTATTCATTTGCTAAAAGTTTTTCCATTTTGCTTGGCTATTTCGTTTTCTATTTGATATTCAGCCAGTCTGAGAACTTTCATAGACGAATTGTGCGGAAAGTATAATATTCGAACGAAAAATTCATAAAGAATAGCAATAACTGAAGCGAACTGATGGGAAAATTTAATGCGGTGACAAGCAAAGGATTCGATTTGGTTTTGGTTGACTTGGTTTATTATTTACTCACCGAAAGATTTGAAGACTATTGAAAACATTGAAAATACCGTTAAGAGAGAGAAAAAATTTTACGAAAAAAATTTTTTCTTAATGTATACAAAGAGAAAATAACTGATTTAAATTTTTATTAAATAAAATTAATAAAATTAAAATTCGTACATTTATTTATTTCAAAAATTTATGAAAAAAAATGAAATTGAAACAACAAATCGATCGGTCGAATGTAAAATTTTATGATTTAACCGTAATTAACCCTTAACATGGCACTATGCTTGAAATTTTAAGAGTACTATTTCTGGTTAGATCTCGCTCCGCCGACTTGTCAGATCTGATGAACATTGCTAAGGATCACTTGGAGAATAGACCCACAGCTTGGTGACCAGCATCATCCGGATTTTGACGCTCTAAAAGCATCTTAACCTTACTTTTTCATACCACACTGGTCGAACTTTTGAAATCAGACAATAATTCTTCAGCTTTTTAACTCTACCACAGCTGTGCTAACGTCACGATGGTAACTATGGTATCGAAATCCCGCTGGGTCTTTTCGTTATTGGTACCGAGGTCCCGCTGGGTCTTTTCGTTATTGATACCGAGGTCCCGCTGGGTCTTTTCGTTATGACCCACTTAGATATTTTAAAAACACGTCGAAATGCTTGATGCGCTCCAAAACCTATCTTTCTCAGATCATCCTCACTATCGCGAAAATCATCTGTGCTCTACTGCCGTAATGCATCCGTAAATTTCAACCCCTTTTTTAGAACTTTTCCTCGTTGCATCCAATTGAACTCTTCAGATCTCAACTGCTGCAACGAAAAATACAAAAGTCGGCATAGCTGTGAATGGAAGAAGCACAGCGAAAACTGGAGGATCGGCGAGGCTTGTAGGGATCCGACGGCCGTGAAAACGTTGCTTTCCAGCGACTATAATGCTTTTTGAGGAATATTAGGCAGAAGTGGCGATACAAAATAGGAATTTGTACTGACCGATACACCTTAAGAAAAAATTCGTCTTAGAATTCTCGCGAGCACAACAAAATATGGCAAAAATTAACTTCCGTAAATTTACTAAGCAGTTAGTGCGTACTGTTTTTAGTTAAACTAACTCGTCTGGTTGCTAGACATTTTTACTGGGGGAGTCACTCGGGATTGGTACCAACGAGGTACTTTAGTGATACGCTGCTTATCCTTATCAGTTGCCGAGCTATCCTTCAGCACAAACCTTTTTATCAATAAACCCAATAAATAAAAAAAAATGGAAAAGCACTGTAATTCGAGTAAGTTTAAGGCGAAATTATTAATTTGCAACATTAAAAAGATTAACAAACATACAAAAGTAAATTAGCGAAATAAATAACGAAAAAAAAGTTCAGAAAAAGTTCAATTTTGAGAGCAATGAAAGAATTAGGGATCGTTTTATCGAATGATTTCGGTTTATAATGTGAACAATAGAAAAATCGAACGAACGAAATAGCGAAAGAGGTTGGTTGGTTGCAGAGAAGTAAAGGTCACGTTAGAGGTCAGTCGCAGAGAAGTAAAGGTCACGCCAGAGGTCAGTCGCAGAAAAATAATGGTCACGTCGGTCGCACCATAGACGACATAGCCTAATCAATATATAATCGCCAATCGGAATAGCCATTTATTAAACGCGAAAAGAGTGGTCGGAAGGAGAGAATGAGTGGTGCATTGATTTTTGGTTCAGCCACAACACAGCATATAGATTTTACAGAAGAAACTGCTTTTAAGATCGCCTTAAGCTCTTAGCTGGGCGATATCTAAAGTATTGCCTATCATATCCTTATTCCGGACTAGGGCCCAAGCCTAACATTAGTGCATTAACGTCGTCCTACGAAATCGAGACCGGATGATGTCGGTGATCCAGTGTACTTTTATCGCCAAATGATTACTGCCTGGCAAAATTTGTGGTCCAGCGGAGCAAGGCTTACCAGAAAAAATGATTTCAGCAAAAAATTTCAATTAAAGAAGCAATATCACCGTTTTCTCTTAGTTCATGGTATGGTACCTTGCATGTCTATAATGATGAATTTTCAGCTGCTGCTCAACTAGTCGACGTATTAGCACTAGAATGATTGGAATATGTTAGCAAAACTCATGTGACCTGTGTCATGATCTGTACCCTGCGTGCCTTGCATCATGCGTGACATTGGAAATTATTTATGCTGCTCTTACTGCTCTTTTATTGCTTTTGCCCTTTTATTGCAGCTATTATTGCTGGTCTTCAATTCGCAGCATAAATGCAGCGTAACATTTAAGATTTGGGGCGCTTTCTTTGAAAAACAAGGAATGTACTTCTTATCTATTTCTTTATCAGTTCCTTACATGCATCCAGTAATCCCTCGATGCAATAAAGAAGAATTCCAACCCATAAAGAATATGAGAAATGGCTGTGCACCATATTTTTACTTTATTCCTGATATGCAAAAAATGCGCTTTTTTATCAAATATTTTTACTGGTTTTAAACGAACTAACAACGTAAATTGCTTGAATTCACATGCGGTTCTCTTTTTTTCTTTCTTATGTTTACATTCCATATTTTTTTCAACCGAAATTTTCATCGACGGAAGGAAATAGAAAGATGGCAAAAAATTGTCGTCAACAGTTAATCGAAAAAGTCAAACCCAATCAAATTTGCTTGTTTCGATTAAAGTGATAGAGGCAGAATATCCGAGCGGCTCAGATTTTCGCACTCATATGCAAGAGTTCGATTCCTGAAGTAAACCCGTTATTAAATTCCATCAATATTTCTATGCCGGTTCTTTTTTCAGTCGAGTGATGACTTCCTGGCAAAAATTTCTAAACTCACTGGCAGTCAATGGAACTAGCCAAACCAGAAACAGGTAAGCCATTTGATTGTTTGCATAAAAGTTTAGATATCTATCCAGTTTCTTCCACTCAGTAGACTGTATCGGGGAACATAGGCTATTTCTAAGTTACTCTCGTAACGATATTAAATTCAGTGGATCACGAAAACGAAGAACGACAAACTGTGACAAAAAATGTTTCACGAAAACGTAGCACGCATTTCATATTCACTTTACAATTCTACAATGAAATTTGAATTGTCACATAGAATATAAAAAAAACATAAAAAATTCATCAATAAATAAACCTAATAAATTATCGAAAAATAAGGTTTTATTAAGAGCGCGTAAAAATAAACACAAACCGCAAATATGCAAACACAACAACGATTTTTACAAACGACCAGTGAACTGAATGGAAAAGAAAGAGAAGGAATGAAATCAACCTTAAAACTGATCAAAAATATAAGCAAACTACAGCTATGAATGGAGGATGAATGGATTCCACATTTAATTCCATATTATCAGCGAAGTCCACAGTCACAATGAATCTTTAGATTTTAGCGCACCAGCGTACTCCGTTCTACGAGCAAAAGACGCAGTTACAATCTCGCAAAAAAGATAAATCGCAGTGTTGGAGAAAGTAAGAAATGTGATCTGCGAAAAAGCTATTTTAGACTCAAAATTGCAAGCAATCAGTTTTCATTATCATTTGAAATATGCATAAAGATAGAGCAATTTTAGAAATCAAAAATTTTTGAGTAATTTTGGCGCATTTCGCCCATTTCTCCACATTTTATATAAATATTTTAATATTCAAGAAGATATCTTTTGTAAACAGATATTTCATAAATCAAAGTTTCAGTACAAACTGTACCCATCAAATTTTCTTAACAACCATCTGATTAGCAATCAATGCTTTGTCAACGCTTTCAAATTATGTTCAGTTTTAATCATACATCTGTCGTTATGACTGATAATAATGGAGCATTACTTGCGTCAGACGATGACTGACTAATGCTTTCATGGTCATTTGTTACTGCCTCAGCTACCTTATCTTCGCCAATATAAGCCTCAAACATTTCAATTGTTACAGACGAATCAGTTGGATGAATTCGTGGCGGAACCGTTAATTGCTGATGCAGATCGGGCTGCAAGTTAAAAATTCTCATTTGAAAATAGAAAGTTTAAAAATTTTAATTTATATTAGATCGAAACTAGCAGATCTCCGCTGTTTTTCTATTCCATTCCATGAATTACTAAAATTACTTTTATCGCTTCCAGGTCGAAACAAAAATTGTTATTCGATTTGGACTTCGATGAAACAACATCGCCATTTGCAATTTCTTCGTCGTTACTAAAGTTTGCTTCGAGTTTCGTCTGGAATTTCGCGAATTTCACTACATAAAACATTTCGCTCGGCTATATTAAAACAATAAATATAAATACCTTCAATGCATAAATGTTGAAGATTTCATTGACAAGTTCCTTTGTAATTTTACTATTGACATGCTCTTGCAGAAGTTTTAGCATTAAAATACCATCAGAGTAAAGAAATTTGTGAATAAATCGCTTTGATGATTCTTCGCTATAACCAATCGTCTAAAATATCGTATAATTTTAAAACAACATTTTAATTTTTAGAAAAATTTAGTCGTGTTTAATTTACCTCGGCCTTTTGCCAATTCATGAGCCATAGGACAACGTTGGCTCGAAGCTTTGGTATATTCATTACAAGCAAATAATAAAGGAAATTAATTAAGGTACAAATTCCAACAAAAATGAACCAAAACCACAGGAAGAGGTACAATTTTTCGTGAATCATATTCATCATAATAACACATTGCACCGTATGACTTTGTAAATTACCAAGTCGGCGAATCTATAATTTTTTCTTAAAAATATGAGAAATTAGTTGTGAATAGTAAAAGTTACCAATACTACAAATACATTTTTAACATTTGTTTGAAAACGACTGATAATAACCTGAAAATCGCACATAATTACTCGAGGAAATACAGGCGAACCTTCCCACTGCTTCCCAGTTGCAACACTGGTTATCGTCTAAAATAGGTACTCAGATTACTTCATCACACTCTCTGACTTTAATCTATTCGAGAATATATTAGATACTAAATAAATAAACAAAGCTGACGTCTAAACGTCTAAGATTTTTCATTTTTTTTTGAAATTTTACATACTTCATAAGCCCAAAAAGAAAATTTTCCACCGAGAAAACGATTTAGTCCAATTAATTGCAAAACTATATTTGCCAGATAAAGGAATTTTATCAATAGATAGGCAATTGTTGCATTTCGTCCCGAACGAGCCAAAGCCTATAAATATTCAGTCCATTTACGTGTTTTATGGTAAGTAGTTCGTGTACTGGCATGAAGATCTGTCTTTAAAAAATGACCAGCAAAGTCCAAATTCTTCTTCAATATGACGACAATTTATGATTATTTAATTTATTGTTTCCTCTTAGTTTTAAATAAGAATTGTTTATCGGAGAATGACCTTTTTTATTGCAAAAATTTAAACTTTATCTAATTCCATTTTGAATTAGCAAGCAGAATAATCGTTGTAGTTGTTTAGAACATCATTTCGAGCACTATGGTTATGGCTTCACCAGTAGTAAAGCTGTCACTGAAAAATTCAACTGGCACATTGAGCTCACCCTTGCCTCATACCACAGAGGAATTATAAAATTTTACTCTATTACTCTGCTATTTATTTTTTTAAAACAAGCGAGGCGAAAAGCGCTATGTGGTTGCATTGATAACATCAAGATATAGTATCAAATGAAAAGAAATAGTGATTGCGATATAAGTAAGTAATATTGCGATATAACGAAAGGAATGTGACCAAAAGCTAACAACATAAACAGAAATAATACAAATAAAGGGGAATTATAAAGTAAACCAACCAAACTAAAAATATATATGACAGATAATCAAATGATAAGCGACCAAGTTTCAAGCTTCCTGCATAACATAAAGCTTTTAAATAATGTCATGGATGATAATATTTAATCTTTAACCTTATTTATTTAATGTTTTTAAAAATAGATAAGGATGGTGCACTATGTCATTCGGCAACTTATTCCAGTAATTGGTGGTGCGAGTAAAAAAGTGCGTTTAGACTTCAATAATTTTAGCTCTTTAAACTTTAGTCCTTGTTGACCATTTTCAATAATTTGACAAAACCATACAAAATTTTATCTGTATAAATTAGATCTTGTCTAATCCGACGAAGTGAGAGCAATTCTAGGTATAGCACTATAACTGAGATTGGTACTAGAAGAGAGGCGAACAAAGTGTTCTTGGAGACCTAAAACAAATTTACTTGATTTGCGATATCTAATGGGCCCAAGCTTATATTTCTATTTTTAAACGACCGAAAAATAAAATTTAGTAATCTAGAGGATTTCTTTACTATGGTTCTCTAGGTTGAAATCAACATTTTTATTAAGCCAAGATCTGATATATTCGAGGCGTCTAATTATGTTACCATTAATAAAGATATTAGGAAGATATGTAATACATTTTTGAATGGAAAGGATGCTTGGAAATTTTATTGAGCTTGTAGTGGGGACAGGTTATCTGATCTTCCATAAAAATAATGAATTTTACAATCATGAGCATAGAGATAAATAGTAGAATTTAGTATAACCGTGGTGAGGTCATTAATATATAATAAAGCGAAGGTGCGATACAACTATTTTGAGTGATAACTGATCTAACTGGAGTCAAATCTGAAAGAATCGTTAATACATATAGCTTGGTGTCGGTAAATAATCCAGTAGTACCAGCTGCTTGTAATGCCATTATGATTGATGGTGATTAGTAACATAATTTACTATATGAAACAGTATCGAAGGTAGTAAACAATCTGATACTAGTTTTCAGCTAATAATAGACCAATCGGAAAGGTTTCCCAATTTCTGTGAAGAAATGGATTTTTTCGAGCAAAAACCATGGTGATAGGAAGATATTACAGCACCAAGATAATTTAGTAACTTGTAAATCGGTCTCTCTTTCCGGTTATTCTACTACCAGCACGTATTAGGCAAATAGGCCTAATTAAAAGGATCACAGATGTTTCCTTCTTTAAAAATGGGAATTTTATGAGACAATTTCCAAAGTCTTGAATTTAAGCCATTTCCTATAATGACCTTGTAAATTAAAAACAGGGGAAGACTGAAGAAGTGATTTTTTAAAAAATATTTATGGGATTATCTGGACAAGTTGAAATAGAAGTCTAGGTTTACTTCCCTAAACACCTAATAATTCATCTCACTGAGAAAACCACAGCATCGATTTTCATCGAAAAACAAGCGAAAAATATTAATCGTCAACAAATACACTAGAAAAATATTGATTAAAAACACTTGCAATATCAAAATCACAATGGATCAAAATTGATCATGTTATCACGTTATCATTATGATGCAGAATTATTTGTTTTCGAGGAAGAGGATAAATTTTTTTAAACATAGTTCCACAGAGAATCCCTGTTAATAAATAGCATAGCGAAAGATTTTAAAGCAATCTTTATATGCGGAGCGATCACAGGGCGATTCGGTTAATTTATAATTATTGTAAAGATTCCTTAGATTGCTTTTGAGAAATTTCAAGGAAAGAGGAACGGTTCTAACGATTTTCTTTCTTTTTGAAGGAATATATCGCTCAATGGGATGTAATATGTGTAATTTAAGAAATTAATTATTTGGTCAATGGAGAGAGTTAGATAAAAAATAAAATCTCAGTTTATTTACGCGAGAAGAGAGTGAAAAAATTCATAATCATAACTACGATAATTTCTATCAACAGCTAGGGAAGTGAGTTTAAAATGGAAATGGTGAGTGCTAACTATTTTAGTTCTGTATTAAGAACCATGAGGATGGAATAATTTTGTGCATAAATTTTTATGCAATGAAAAAAGAAACCTTTGGTTGAATTTTTCTTTGTAATTCGAAAACGCCAATGAATTCAGTAATAAAATAGGCGATTTCGCGAAGTCTTATTTGCCGTCGATCTCTTTCCAAAGTCTCACATTTTTTCGTTTCCTCAATTATGCACGGAAGTTGTATGGCTAAAATATTTTACTGAAAATTTCCTGCAAATTTTAATTTTAAAAAAATAGATAAAATAAGCAGTATATGCAGTATTACATCTTACCAGTTCGATCAAGAAACCTATTCCAAAAGTAGTTTGGTGCCATGAATAAAAGAGATTGAAGCACGAGAACCATGGGGATCCACTGAAATAATTTGCAAAAGGATTAAACTTGCTTAATAGCAAATGCTTTATAGAAGAAATCGAGATTTAATCTAAGGCTGCTTAGGATAAAAAAATTCAAAAATAGGAAAAAAGGACTTTTAGGATTTCTCCTATTTATCTTCTTTACGCGCTTACTATTTCTGGTTCGCCTATCTTCACTGGCTTTACCAAAGAGTGCTTTATACGCAAAAGTAGAATTGAGTACCACCTTATCTCACTGCATATCGCTTAATTTTAAAAGAATTTAGGATAATAATAGAAGAGAAGAATTGTAAAGAATTTCTTTCCCTCTTTATTTAATTTGCTTTGATCTCAGGCTTTTTGGACGGAAGATTTAAATATTCTAAATATTGAATGTCCACCTAGTATCCAATTTCCAAATTTTTTTGAAAAGAACGCTTACTCTGTAGTAACTGATTTGATCCCTTCTTGCATTCGGATCTTCAGGTATTTGTTCATCAAACGGTACATAATAGGAATTCTGGATGAAACAGTAATCCTCGGCATATTGATCCCAGCCACCTTCAAAAATTCGATGTTGAAGTTTAGTATGAAAGTTTGTTAATAAAATTTTAAATAAATATTTAAAATTTCTTAATAACCTCTAAATTCAACAGGAGTCCAGCATTGTATGGGTGAACCAAAGTACTGTTTAGCCGTTATCGCAAATGATGCAAATATCAATATAAATGAAGTATAAAAATAGTTAAGATTATCCACAGAATCCGATACATTATCTGCTGTTAAAAACCCGTAAAGATAGCTCGCAAAAAAAGGTACTCCCATGGCAAACCACTGCAACAGATTCATTAAAAAACGGGATGTTTTGCAGAAAATTTTGAAAAGAAGTATTCGTTGCTATATGTTTGATTATAAGCCAGATTTAAAAGAATTTTTTTCTAAAATTTATCACATTTCTTTTTTAAAGATAAATAATTATGTTGATAGTTAATATACCCGTAAGGGAAATAACTTTAATAAATCTTAAACTAATAATTAGGAAAGATTTGAGCATCACTATGCATAAAAATAGAAGGGTCATATTCCTACACCTCTGATATGACCTTTCCTTCTAATTTTTTCAAATGTGTATGCAATTCATTTCTCACACAATAATCGAGAACAATAATCAAGAAAGATCAATTCCTGGCAAAATAATTTCTTAGCTTGAAAATAGCATGAAAAAATATTGATAGTTACGAAAAAAATTAACTTGGAGGGAAAAACGGATAAACGAAAAATGAGCACAATGAGCACTTCATAAACTATAACTTTCATGCAAAGCCTCTGTCTTATGTAAGCATAAAAGAGGTCAGTCATGTCATGTCACTATATAATGTTTTGCTCAATGCATAATATATATAAACCAAGCATTTTAATCCTTATCCAAATCTACTAATTAATCACTTTTATCACACTCTTAATGCGTATGGCCACTTAATGCGAATGGTGAAGATTTGTTCCCCAATTGATTCGCTGGCTTCATTCAAATAGCAAGGTGAGCCATTAGTCAATTGATAGTTGCTTAATTCTTTTTCGAACAGCTTTTACCAATATTGTTTAGGTTGGTTCTGCTGCCTACAGGAGTAAAGCGTTTCTATGCTGTTGGATCGAATTTCATCTCTGATAGCAATAGAAATCATTTCTTTTTTCATCGTTCCTATGCCTGGTTATATTGGTCTTGGTAGATCCACCCATCACGAGATTTAGTGCCGAAATATCAACTCTTGTGGTGGGCGACGAAGAACTTGCCTTTACCAGCGAAGTTAATTAAGCTAATTGCGATGGTATTGTTAACGCAGACTATATTTGAACGAAGATAGATGCAATCATCTGAGATTTTATCGGTTCGACAAACTCGTAAAATATATCTTAGATTAGTGGTTAAAGGTATATAACTTCTTAATATTTTCCATTCTTATTGGCCAAGTCTTATAGCCATATAGCATGGTCGAGCGAACTACACATAAAAGTTTCATCAACCGGATGAAAGCATTTCTAGCTGCCTTTATTGTCTTTTGCTTGGCCATTTGGGATTAGAGTCGATCCGAGATATTTGGAATCTGGCAATAATTGAATTGGCAACAGATCTTGTCAGCTTTTTGTATATAAGATGAAATGCCTTTCATTTGCATAGATGATTCTCACTGCAATTGTCGACACATTATTTAGCATTACATCCAACAGTGTATTCAAGATCTATAATAATGTGCTCGTGTGCCCTGGATTGCTCTGCATATCTTTTTAGTGCTGAGAAGCGATGTCCATTATCCAGTCTATTGCATAGTTGAATAATGTAGAGGAAAGGATTCGACCGGACACTAGTCCTTATTTCAGATGAATTTGTCGTCCCCCATATACACAAATACATAGACTTGTGCTGACATACGATGATAAATGCCTTTAGTCGAATGATCTTGTATGGAACACCGTCATTTCGAACTCTCCAATGAGCCGCTTTATCAATTAAATCGAAAGCAGCTTCAAAAATGAAAGATATGATTGCAAGTATCTGAAGCGATCTAACACCTTTCTTAGTGCATGTTGGCCAGCACAATCGCGTTCTGATCTAACTTATTTAGGGAGCATCCTGCTGTCTTGCACTGCTAAAGTCTGTTCAATAGGAGATAAGCGAAAACACCTGGAGATATCTAGCACGCTCCTCGTTTTCTCGATCGTCGATAATCACAGTATATCCTGTCACCTTTCTTTTTGAGAATTAGTTAGAGTCATCATTTATTCATTGTATTTGGAATAATTTTTATATGAAAAAAATTAAGAAAAATTAAACCTTTTTTGATTTTGCCTGATTTTATTTTTGATTTTTATATGAAAAAAATTAAGAAAAATTAAACCTTTTTTGATTTTGCCTCTTGAAATTTTCATAAAATCCTAATTTTCAGATTTTATCCCATAAGCCAAAAAGGAATATGCATTTAAACATTTTACTGTTATCCTACCAGTCTCTATTACTATCTAATTTTCTAGAAAAGGCCTAAAGTCAAAGCTATGCCTTATCTCATTATATTTCATTATATCACTTCAATAATAAAATTAAGAAAACAAACGAAGAATTGGATCGACCACTTCCTCCCGAAGCACTAATGTTACACTTTAATTGACCATATTAATTCTTTTTCAGCCTTATATTTCCTTATTTTTCTGGAAAAATTGCAGATAATTAATTAGTTTAGTTATATATTTAATATGAAAATTATTGTAAGATTTTACAATTAAATGAATGATTATTTTTTATTGTTAAGTGTTATTGTAAGCTTTTTATTAAATTAATTTACTTCTAAATATGATGGAATCTCAATTTTTTGCTTTGCATACATTTAACACGCTGGATTTAAAATTTCTGTACAATTTGTTAATTTATTTAAAACATAACGTTCTGAAATTCATTATCAATATAATAATGACTAAGCAACAGCTAAAAATGCGATAAGTGATAAAAATGATGATAAAAATGACAATGATATGCTTGGAACAATTTTTGATTTTTATATGAAAAAAATTAAGCTTTTGATGAATTACCTTCAAATAATTTGGCTATCCATTCTGTTGCCATATTTATCATAAATATAAACGTAACTATTGCTATATTTCTTATCAAAAGTGTCCTTTTTTTGAAAAAATTATTTATTTTCGTTAAAGGATAATGATTGAATTTTCATATTGAAAATAAAAATTTGATTTTTTCTCCATTTCTCCATTTCCGTATTTTCTTCATTTTCTTTTTCCACGAGAAAATGAATTTATTTTTTTTATATTCACTCAGTCGTCAGACTCATTTCCCATGTATGTTGCACTTATGTGCATGTATGTGTATGTGTATTTACGATGGAGCATTGATATGTCGCCCTCTCAAATATACGAATTCGAATCTAAAATTTCTAATATGAATGTGGTTATAATCCTTATCGACTCCTTATTACTCCTTTATGTTGCAAAAATGTACGAACATATTTCAAACATAATTTAATGACCCAAAAGAGTAATGTGGCTGTAATGGCGCTGCATTCATATGCCAATCAGTGATTATGTCATTGGGAAATTTGGTGCGACTACTAAAAAAGTGGTACGATGAAACGCTAGTGAAATTCATCGCTGATTGTTTTCAAAAGGTTGTAAGTGAAATAAATGGTTATAATTATTAAACTGGTAAGTTTTAGCAAATTTTACGGAATAAACTTAACTTATCATTGATACAGAAAGAACGCTGCAAACATCCAATTTCTCAGCTAAACTTATACTTCACTTATACCTCGATATACTTCAGTGCCAACTTGTCATATTTTTCGCTACCTATAAATACAGGAAAACTTCTTTCATGATTTTATTCATCGACACATTCTTATAATAAAACTCTTATGTCTATAAATATGTCAAGCTCTGTTTTGAAATTCTAAATATTTGATTCGTTTAAAAAGTGAAAGCTTCAAAAAGGACGCTTTCCAAAAACTTTTAAGACATTTCTTCGCAAGAACATTTCTTATATTTTCAACCTCATTATGAATTCAAGCGATATTTCTTCCTAAATATGGAATTGAATTAGAAATTTTGAAGGGAATTTTGCGAAAAAACAGCATAATTTGCTATCACGTCATGCACTAAATTATTAGATAATGATGGCCTCTTTTGTCGCCATTAATTTTCTCCAGCAATCCTTTAGTAATATAAATATTTTCCTTAAACTATGACCATTTCAAAATTATTTTTAATCAAATATATTCTTTATTTATTTATTAAATTTGAATAAACAAACTATCTATCTATATTTGGGATGCAAACAATAATGAAAATCGAAGACGATTGGGTGCGATGCAGCAAGTGTATAATTTGCGCTCACCATTTTTGGCTAGGCTAGCTCACTGTTCCAAGTTAAAATTCTATCATTTAGCCAGAGAATCATTTAGCGACCGGAAGTAAAGTGAGATCGCCAGAAAATATTGTTCTCAATGAAAATAATGAAAATCATCTCATAATTTTTTCCTTGAACTATTCGAATTGTCTTCAGATAAAATTTCGTCATTTTCTGCAATAATGACGCAAAGTGTTTCGTGTTTCGTGTTTTATAAAATAAATTAAACAAAATTATTAATTTCTCAAACAAACTCATAAACAAATTCAACAAACAAATTCTCAATTCATTCCAATTTGAATTATTCTTTCAGTTTTTTTCAGTTATTTTCATGTTTTTAGTAATTTAGAAATTTAATAGTAATTTTTTCTTATTAACGATTATTAAGCATATCGTTATTTTCTCTAAAAGTTGCCAAAAATTGAGAAAAAATTCAATGAAAAAAAGAAAATTCGAATAAATTTGCTATTTGTTCAATCTTTTTTCAAAAAAAATTTTTGAATGGAATTCGATTCTTTTTTTCAATTTCTACAAAAATAATTCATAAAAATTTTTCCGTTTCCATATATATGAATTTCTTCCTAGAAATTTATTTAGACATTTGTATTTGTGTTGCTATGCATGAGATTGGATTCGATGACAAGTGATTTTGCCGAATAATATTCCTGGCGCGGCGATAAGTGATTTTGCAGAATAATATTCCTGGCGCGGTGACAAGTGATTTTGCCGAATAATATTCCTGGCGCGGTGATAAGTGATTTTGCCGAATAATATTCCTGGTGCGCATCTGCTCACAAATCTTATTAACGAACGTAAGAAAAAAGGGATCAACGAATCGATTTTGCACTCATAAGCGAATCGATTTGGCCTTCTTGAGTTGTTTCCTATCCCAGCTTTCATCATTTATCTTACTTACTTCATCAAAATT